GGTGTTCAAGACTAGCCTCAGCAAGAGTGAGACCCCGTCTTTCCCAGAAATAGAAAAACTTAGACAAAAGGATCTCTTGAGGCCAAGAGTTTGAGGTTGCTGTGAGCTATGATGTCACAGCACTCTCTACCCAGGGTGACAGAATAAGACTGTCTCAAAAAAAAAAAAGGAAGGAAAGAAAGAAAGAAATATTTCCCAACAGCAAGAGTAATTTAAAAAAAAATTAAAGGCAACAATTGCCATATTTTACATGCGGATGTTACAAAAAGTACATTTTGAAGGGCATTTTAAATGTATAATAAGCAATACTTTTCCTGGGTGACTTAGTTACAAGGGGCTTCACTGGGTATTCTTTTGAAAGCCCACAATTCTGTTATACGAAATTAAATTTCTTCCTGCCAAGGAGCACATCAAGTTCTACAGAGATTTTGTAAGCTGGGCCCTGGGTGCATAATGAGATTTACAAATCTGAACCTTGCAGGGGTCTTTTAAAACAGAGATTCCTGCTGCCCAGATCACAACAGCCTACAAGACAAACAAAAGTTTTGTTTTCGGCTTTTTAAAAAAATTTTAACTATTAAATGTAGCGATGCCAATACAGCTGTGGAAACGCAGGCTGTGCCCTATTTTGCCTTATGCATCATCAAGAAAATTGCCAGTTCAATTTTGATTCCAAAATCTTTATTGTGATGATGTAGCTAACAAAAGACGCAGCTTGATTAAACGTCAGGCCAGGCCAGTGCTGGGGCCAACTGGAAAAAATATCGTTTTGAATCATTTGATGACCACTGAAGGAAAATATTCATAAAGTGTCCAGGCATATGAAACATCCCGATGAGTTAAGGGGATTTTAGGTCTCATTTAGTACAATCTCCCACACAAGCAGAAAACCCTTTTAAGTGTCCATAACTATTTCTTTACAAATTGTTCTACTATATAGGAATTTGCTACTTCTAAACTAGGTCCTCTACTAGATAAAAAATATATAAACATTGAATAGTTTTTATACTTGGACGAAATTTACATACTTAGAACTTATTCTAAGGCTGCAAATAAGGTCCCAGTTTAGTCCCAAAGTTTAGTACATAAAAACACCTACAACTATGTAAAAGGCTACGTAGGCAACATGGGGAGCCATGGGAACACATATAAATTGTTCAGGTAAAATGCAAATTGAATGTACATATTAAACTTTTTAGGTTCAATGGAAACTTGTAACAAGGCTGAAAGTGCTTGCTCAAGCACTTGATAAAGGACAGTTGTCAAATCATAATGCAGGTAGGAAACCAGAGACAGGGTTGAGGTTGGTCTGAAACTGCAGGTTTTCCCAACTGATGGGGAAAGACGAGACCTGAGTCAAAGGTTTGAGAGTATGTGGGAGGTGATCCCAGGAAGCACCAGGAGGAGAGTGAAGAAGAGTCAGGTGAGGGGACGCGGCAACTGATAAAGTGTGTGTCGTCACTCCGACTCCCACCGTGAACAGCTGCACTTCACCCCGGGGCGGAACCCACCTGCAGGGTGAGGAAGCTGGACTGTTTATACCTAGTCCAGTCAGTCGTGTATGAATAAAAGCTGGCACTGCTGGCAGGAAAAGACCAGACCGGTAGGGTCTTGATCCGGATTCTCTTGGAAACACACCTTGAGTCAAAGATTCAAACACAGCCACTTGCCTGGGGGCTGATGGAGAAAGCACCAGCAGGGAAGCAGGGGTGTGAGATAAGGAAGGAAAGCCTGCTCTGGGATCTGAACTTCATGGCCCTTCCACCTCCTCTCATGTAGGTCAGCACAGTTTGCCTCCGTTCTTGAAACGCCTGCAGATACGAAGGTGAAGATTCTGGCAGACAGAAGCTGCTCCGAACACACACAAAATAAAGTCTGAGGGATATGGTCAGGTCTCTGATGAGTCGTTAAGGTGATAATTCATCAAATCACTCGTTGAAGTGAAAAAAAAACTGACCAGGTATCTAGTGTAGCAGGCTCATCATTGGAGTTTTCAGTGATGAAAGCCATCTAAGATGAAAAGTCACCTCGCCAAGAACGGCACCTTGCACAGAAGCAGGGAGAGGCTGGGTTTGCATCCTGAGTCAGCCCCCGACCAGCTTTAAAGCCTTGGGTGAGCTAAGCAGGTATCAAAAGGAGCTCTCCTATATCACGTTAGGTGCTAATATATATAAGAATCCTTTGAAATGTAAGAAGCACTAAACAAAAGACAGGAGACACAATGATGTCTGCTTATTCAAAACAAGAATTTCAGTTTACATTTTAGAAAAATTATATTTCCTTTAACTTGAGACTTTCATCAAGAAAAAAATAACAGATCACAGTGCATTTAGAATGTTCTCTGGAGCCTTATTCTTTGTTGTTGTTGTTGATAAGAAGACGGCAGCAGATGTGTTGATGGCACCTTTCTTAGATATAATGGGCTGTTGGTGATTTGTGAATCCATCCCCGGATTATTTGTAAGTCTACAATAGTAGCTCCCTGGTGAAAATTTCATAAAGAATCATCTTTGTGTCGATGAACATAAAGCTTATTTCCAAAAAATAAGCCAGGCTCAGAAAGGAAGTTTTCTGATTTTACTTACCATTCTGTGCTAGATCAACTGATTTTAAGTAAAAATATTAAAGGAGGTAGAGAGAAGCAGGACTTCATTTAGCTCCTAAATCTCCGTGGGCTTCATAGATAAAGAGATATTAGATTCTGTGTGTTTTTAAATCCAGGGTTCAGCTTGAATTTTGAATTTCAAACTCCCATAAAGTTTCAAAGACAGGAATATTCTTTTTTTTAATTTTTATTAAAATAAACCATATATTTTGCATTTTTCTTTTAATCAGTTATCAATCTACTTTTCAGTGCCACCAAATCTATATATTTGTATTCTTTTTGATTATCATACATTATAGATGAATTGTTGATTCTTTAGTTGCTATAAATTTTGGTCATTTATTTATGCATTAGTATTTATATTTAATGCTTTTTGAGATCATGTTCTGTATCTCTACCTTAAGTGATTTCAATAAAATAACTAATTTACTTTTCACAGTATCTTAGTTCAAGTTATAACAGAAATGCCATAGGGTGGATGGCGCACACACACAAATTTATTTATCTCAGTTCTGTAGCTGGGGAGTCCA